CACTCCAAGTTCAAAAATAATTTACTAATACAAAGTTTATACATAATCTTTTTTTTTTCATTTACAATACTAATAAAAAAAAAAGTATACGATTTTTCTTTTTCTTTATGTCTCCAGTCTTAAAACATATCGCACATTATACATTTTTACAATAAATGGCAAAAACTAAAACGATATTAAATGGAAATAAATGCAATTTTTTACTTTGAACCATTTACAATGAGAGGTGAAAAAACATGAAAAAACGAATATTTCTTTCTAATTGTCAATACTTTTTACATTTTACTAAATGATTTACTATCATTTGGGAAATGAAAGACGGTGAGATTGCCAATATCTATACTTTTATTTGTGATGCCTCTTTGAAATTAGGTGGAGTTTATTTCTTAGTGATTCAACCGGAATATTAAGTTTGCAAGGTGAACGGTCAAAGGCTTAAATGCAGATAAATCTCGTGAGCCTGAGTTTGTATCTGATGTCAGTGGGTATACTATCTGAGGCCTTCTGAGGTTAATATCTTGTAAACAGCAGTTTTTTTTCATTTATATTAACTATATTATTTATCAATTTAAATACATGTATAATGTATAACATCGTGGAATAATTTATGCAGAACGAGATCATGCAAATCATCAGAAGATTCAAACTATCGTAAATGTCATGTCATAACAAACAAACCAGACAGTGATTCCTTAAAAGCGTCTTTTGTGAGATTATTTCACTTACCTGAAACGAGACTGCACCTGGCGCCTATGAATTTTGATTTAAACTTTGCCAAGACTTTAAGGTCACAGGGAAATTAGCTTCCTCATCACGCCAACGCCAGTCATGACAATGGTTATTGTGTATGAAAGATCCATGAATTTCTTTTCACTTGAATAGATGTTTCATCCTAACACTACATCAAAGTGTTTCTAGAGCATTTTTAGAAATATACTATATGAAACTACTGGGCAGACCCATAGAGAAACATTAATTCTCTTAAACGTTAGAAACTAAATACTGCTGTGCATACAGTTATATATAGCAGTATTACATTGAAATTGAAATTTAACATTGCTATATTAATATTTGTTTATATTTGATTTCTTTCATTTAAAGGAATTGTTCCCACATAAAAACATTTACGGAAGAATTCTCAAAGAATCACGAGAAATGGGAAGAATCATACTGTCACTGTTGATCTTTGTTCAATATTCCAAGTTATGTGGAAGTAATCATGAGACAGGTATTTTGATCTTTTCATTAAGAAAATTCACATAGATTAACACGAAAAGACATTTAATTTATTTTTAAAATAAATTTCCGTTTATTAAAATACATAATTTTATTTAAGTCTCAATTAATAACAATGTTTGTTTACATGTCCTGTAATTAGAACCGTATAGAAGACTTTAAATTTAGAAAAAAAAGGGTGGCATAAGTAATGAAAAATTGTATTAATGAAACTCATAGAGAAGTTCCATCACTTATCACCTCTACATGAAGTGAAGACTTGCAGATATTTTGCTACACTCTAGATGCACCTGATTTGATATTGATGTGGTCACTAATTTTTAACTCAATTGGGATGCTTGAAAAACATTTATATTTTTCTTTAAACTTTAAAGTGGATTCCTTCAAATTATAGAACCGTTTTCGTAAAGATTTGACAACAATGGACCAAAATTGACATTTTTAAAAATTTGATTTCTATGCTGCCATGCAAATTTCCATTCGCATTGTTTATGTCTTTCAGTAACTCTAAAAATTCTGAGAGGAAAGTAATGTTCTAGGGGAAAAAAAAACAAAATATCTTTCAGCTATTAACTTAAATGTTGATCTCTAGTTCATCATTTGTAGTTTCATGTTACAGCGTGTTGCCAGGTCCTCTTCTTTTCCTTACAATAGATCTTAGAAAGGAATGTATTTTTTTTCTTCAACCGACGTGGGCGCTTCAAACAAACATTTGGAGGGGACAAATTACCAATTAATGAACGTAGCGCATTGATATTAAACGTTTTCAGTTTAGATTTTTATTCGATACGTCGGTCAAGGAAATTTGTTTTTTACCTATGATTTGAAGATAATAAAACGAAATTTTCTTTCACCTTTTATTTGATTTAAGCATCATAGACAGTGCGTAGGAATACATCACAACAATGTTTTTTATTATTATTTTTAAAAAAAATTATTTGTTTTTTTATTTCTACATTTTAATTTTCAAATAACAGTGTATGTCATATAATTATCACGGATTTTACTAAGCATTCAGTCAATGATTCTTTGCTTAATTTAAATGACTTATTGTACAGATCTTCGCTCATTGGATTGATGATTTTTACGTCCAGGCTTTCTATGATACATCGATTAAAGAAAAAATATAAGATTAAGTTTTTTAGCATTTAGTATTTACCTTTCAAGAATTAGATTTAACTTGAGAATTAAAAACTACACGTAGTTGTCCAACATGTAGGTTAGGCGTACCTTAGATGCGTAAAAGTTACATGTAACAAATTTAAACAAACACAGTTTTCACATTAGTATTGTCTTATCATTACCAGAATTGTCATCCAATAACACAAAAAACTTAACTCTTGTGTTATAAATTTTTCCTATATCCCAGTGGTTATATTTCCCCGGTAATCTGATATCTTTAGATTTGGAACTATAAAGGGAGGCTACTCATAAATAAGCTATACAACCCTTTCTACATGACCAAAATTTTGGATTTCGTTTTGCAAAACTCTTTATCCAAATTTAAACCGAATATGTATACATAACACAACCTATCCATTCATAACACAACAAACTTCAAATCTGGAATAGTCTACTGCCTACAATTTAACTTAAAAAAGAATACCGTCCTCACTCAGTATCCTTTTTTCATGCATTCGTTTTCTAAGATTAACATATTTATTTAATTTCCCCGAAAACACAAACATTTAACATACATATACTGAGATAATGATATTTTTTACAGCAGCTTCATTGTTGTCATTGCAAACGATCCTATTTTGTCGCAGAAAGGCGCAGGGGGTGAGGGGGGGGGGGGGTGAGGAACACAAGTAGAAAGTAACGGACAAGTTTTTAATTTCGGGAAAATAAAGTAACAGTTACAGTATATCATTTTTCTTTCAAAAAGTAAATTTTGGAAGCGGAAATATACATGTAAAATTTGACAAGGTAATTGTGGTATTAAGTTCAAATAAACCCCATATACTATTGATGCTGTTTCAAAAATACTTATCAATTCAGAATGAACTATTTTATAGAAATGTAATCAAAAAATTCAATTCAACACCTTCAAAATAAGGATTTATAAAAGATAATGATATAAACAAAATGCCATCATATTTACTTCAGTTTAATGGGCATAATATTTTTTAAGAAAATGCATTTGGTGGATAAATTCATAATTATCCATGTAGAAATAATTGGTTTTACATGTTTTGAAATAAGTTTTGACAAATTTAAGAGGTTTTATTTTACAGTTGACTGTGACTTTGAAAAACATTTATGTGGATGGGAAATATATGGTTCAAGATATGATTTTCCTGCATGCAGCATACCTCAGGAAGAATGTGAAACCTTTTTCTATTTGAATGATAGTGTAAGCTGGAAAAGAATGGCAGCTGATGATGTGAAAAAAACAGTTGATATAAAAGGTAAACATATATGATAAGGTTAATACCTCGATAGGTCAATTGTTGAGTCACGATTTGTCTGCTGCCAAGTTATGTCCGTCGTCATGAAATGTCAGCCTCCCATTCGGAAAAATCCTCACACTTTGTCCGTCGTCACGAAATGTCCGCTTCTTTTTTCAGAAAAATCGTCACACTATGTCCGACGCCAGAAAATGCCCTTTTTTGTTCCAAAACGGAATATTATATTCGCTTGCCTCCCCACTAAAAATCGTCATATTATGTCCGCCGCCATGAAAAAAACAGGTGACTTTTGATGACTTGAGCCTTGATCTTTCGATGATATTTTTTTCGTTTTCTCCTTTTTTATAGCTTGGAATAAATATACTCTTGATCTTGCGAAGTTAAATTGATCTTGCAATGCATAGTTTATAAAGTGAAATATACCATTAATATCTTATAAGTGGATACTTGAATAGAGACAGGAGGTAATTAGGACTTTCAAAGGAATCCTAACACCTCGTGTTTTATGTATTAATAAAAAATACATTGCACTAAGATTTGAAAGCAGGATAATTATAAAGAATATTTTAACACCAGAATTTTATATAAACTATTCGTTTGAAAATTGTTTAAATTAGTTAAAACTTTGAATATGCACGCATGCAGTATTGACTGTTAAGAAGAGGAGGGTAGCACTTTGAAAACATTTTGAAACATTAATTTTGTAATTTGTATTTCTACTGGATTGTCAGATTTTATATATATCGCAGTATTCCCGTTGATGTTTTTATTACAATCATGCATTTGCAGGTAATTTTTTTAAAGAATAAATATGTTTAAGGGGCGACAGTGTGGCGAGCGCAGATGTGTATAATTAGATATATTATATACAGGTTTAACTTAGATCCCTCTTCAAACTGCTCATTGCTTAAAGAAACCCTAAGCTCTGACGTCAGGTGAAACACAATTTTAGTTACATTACCATTTAGGCCAATTAAAATCAGTTTAACAAAAAGCTACATATAAATAACTTGGAATAAACATAAGATCAAGATGAGTTTTTTACATCGTGAACACTAGTTGTAATCGAGAGAATATAGTTAGAGCGAAATGCATTTGTATTGCTGTGACATTCACGGTAGCTCAGTCGGTAGAGATAGTGTGACAATTCCGGAATTTAAAGATACGACCATGCAGAGTCCTCAATTAGTCATTGTTGACATCACGTGACTTTGATAGAGTATATATACTGAGACTCTGCAGTCATCCGTTGTTGTTATTCGGATGCAGCAAAGGAGAGAAGACGATTGACAGTGTTTTGAAGACTGTAGTAAATAAAGTTTGCGGTTATTAATTTCTCGCCTGTGGTTACAGTTTGAGAGGAATCTGGAAGACCATTTTGAGGTCTGCCAAACCAATTATAAGGCCTGCCACGAAGAGGTCAACCACAAGCAAAGAGGCTAGCCATAAAAGTTCGTTCGTCTGCATTGACTGACCAGTCCTACCAGGCCGCTCTACTCACTGTCCGTCCTGAATAAGGCACCATAAAGTGAGTGTAGTGGTTGAAGGGCTATCACATATACTGTCCGTCCTAAATAAGGCATCCTACAGTATATGCAGTAGTCCGAGGGCGACTGGACTTTCGTTTTAGTATTAATAGGTCTACCAAATAATTTGTTGTTATCGCCTCCGATTGTTGTATTGATTCACCATTTGATTATTATTATACCTCCAATTAGAATGAAAGAATCTGATTGGTTGATGAGGAAACAATAAAATTAGCTTATGACCCATTCTTGTGTCACATGACCATTTATGACTTGATTGTTGCAGGAGTATGAGGTATTGACCGGTCATTAATATTATTGACCGCAGAACCTGACCTGTGCATTAAAAAAAAATGGCGGAACATATTACCGCTTCGTTATTTCTTCACGTTTACCATGTTTACTTTACTGTTTTTAGATAAAGACTATAACTCATTAACTTTACGTTATTCGTTAGAAATAAGATATAGACTATAACATTGTGTACTACGTCATTTCCCATGTGTGGTTTGTCGTCTGTTTACGAAAACGATGGCTGGTGAATCAAGATTTGCAACTTTGAGTAGTGAGGAACTACAAGCGATCCTAGAGAACCGCGATAGTTCTAACACAAAACAATGTATAGATTCAGCGAAACGAATTTTCATTACATACTGCACTGAAAAGGGACTGATAGTGGACAACGTACTGCAAAAAACAAAAGGTGAAATTGCTGAAATTCTGATCAACTTTTACGCTGAACTCAGAAGAAAAGATGGTGAATTGTATAGTAGATCTGCCATGATCAGCATCAGGTTTGGTTTGCAGAGATTTTTCCAAAAAATTAACTATGACATTATTAATGACTCAGATTTTCGTCTATCAAACGAAATGTTCAAGGCAGTTTTGACAAACATCAAACGAACTGGAAAGGGAACCACTCAGCACAAGGAAGTTATCAGCGATGCTGATATGGCAACATTGTATAGCAGCGGCGTCCTAACCGGAAAGAGTCCGCAGGGGTTGCAGTATAAAGTTTTTCTTGATGTGATGTTCTACACATGTAGAAGAGGAAGGGAAAATTTGAGAAATATGAAGAAAACTGATTTTGTTTTGAGGACAGATGGCCAAGGAAGGAGATATTATCTAAATGTCGCTCAGTATGAAACCAAAAATCACAGAGGAAGTGATGTTAATGACTATGATGCATCTTCAGCAAGAATATATGAAATACCATGGATATAATACTTCAGTTACAATCATTTAAAATAAAATTCATGTAAACTTCAGTATTAACTAATTTAAGATCATAATCTTCCTGAATTCAACTGCTTTACAATTTTTTCATGTTAATATGTTCATGTAGGTGATGAGAAGTGCCCTGTGTCTAGCCTGGAGAAATACCTTGCAAAACTGAATCCAAATTGTGAAAGTTTTTGGCAGAGACCGAAGCGCCATATCAAAGATTCGGATGCTGTTTGGTATGATAATTCTCCAGTAGGTCATAACACTTTGGGAAATTTTATGAAAACAATTTCTATGAAAGCTGAACTCTCAACTCTGTATACAAACCACTGCATACATGCCACGTGAATTACTAGTTTGGATCAGCGTGGGATAGAAGCTAGACATATCATGTCTGTAAGTGGACATAAGTCGGAAACCTCGATAAAAACCTATTCAAGATGTGTAAGTGAATCCAAAAAGCAAGAAATGTTTGATGTTTTATCATCTGTGGTTTATCCATCACCAAAGCTAGGGCTAGAAAACCCAGTAGTTCCAACACATTCTTGTACCGATACTTCAGAAACTCAGCTCTTGGATTTAAATAACTGTGAATTTGAGACTGTCAGTACCGAAAAATTGCTTTCTGAAGTCCTGGTTGATGAAAATAGTTCAGATTTGTTTGTTCCAGAAGAAAAAGAGAATGTTAAAGTTGACAAAATGCCTCAAAACTCTTGTGGTCCAGTATTTAGAAATGTCGGACAAGTGCATATTCACTATTATGTAGGAAAGGAACAACAAAAGTAAAGATAATGTAAAGTTCTTTATTGGACTTTTGTAATCGTTAACGGTTGTAAGATGTGTTTTTCGCATTTCAATTGAACAATCAAATTTGAAGTTATTGTTGCTAAAATTGATATTTCAGAATATGCATTATTCTGTTGAAACTGTTGAAATAAAATGTTTCATGTGTTCAAATTTTTCATTATCATTATTGTCGGTATAATAAAACAATTGATCACCCTTTATGAGGTCAGCATGGTGAAATGATGCCCCTTGACCTGACCCACTCGATGACCTGACCTGACCTCGGCCGTTGGCCTCGGTCAGGTCAGGTCACCTCGTGGGTCAGGTCTCGGGTCATCATCTCACCATGTTGACCTCATAAAGAGTGATTAATTGTATATTGTTTACCTAGATAAGGTTTAGACATATTTGTATATTTCGGCAGTCCTTTTAAATCATACCAATCAATTTTTAAATCAGTTTATGTTGAACCCCCCCCCCCCCAACACTGGAAATGACCAGGTACGATCCCAATGATTAATTGTAAATATGTTACAATAGGGAGGTCGTGAATTGAATTTCAGTCATTACTAGATAAACGATAGATAAAAATAGGAGCAACTGTACCTTCGTTATGCGCACAATACTTGAAGTAAAAGTTGCCGGTACTTCGGATGAGACGAAAAAGAGGTCTGTTGTCACTGCAGGCGTTATATATTTATTTACATTCTTAATGATGCTATGAAGCAGGCGATGAAAGTGTGTTTTGGAAAACTAGTTTTCCTAAAAATAACCTTTATCAATAAAGTTTTAAAGTCATTAAGAGTGTTTACTGGTGTTTGTTGTACTTTTTAAATTCTTTGTTAAAAGTTCAAGTATTTACAGATTAATCTCAAATTCTAACAGAAGGAGACTGATATGCATAATATGAAATAATACTGAATTGTTCTTCTGTTTTTGTTCCAGGTTTTACACCAAGAAGCACTATTCTTGTTTCAACTTCATTAACTTTTCAAATGCTTCGTTTGTTGCGTCATAGTGCTGGAGCCGAAACTGTAGAAAAATATTTAGCAAATCCTGAAATACCGGACAACATTTATACACACCCCTCTAATTATCTGTTAAGTGTAGAGCTGCCAATAGCATATACAGTCCGGTGCCTTCATTATTCGTACAAATTATCCAAATTTGGTCTATTAATTTTAGCTTATATACCAAATAATACTGATGTACAAAAATTATTTCGCGGTCAGTTGGAATATTCAAGGTATACAATACTAAAAATGGATCATAGTGTAAACAACTATCTGCAGAAAGCATCGGTTGACTTGCCAACTGTATTAAGTTATAAGGTATGTTGTTGAATAGCAAAAATGCTGTTTAATAAATACACTTTAACTTTATTCACCTATTTAAAGCACAAAAAATGTAATTATTACTTTAAAGAGATAATCAGCTTTCTTATTCTTTCAGTAAAGACAGAAATTTGAATGAAATACATTCATGAATTAAACATATTTTAAAGCCTTATATACATATTCATTAATTTTTTTTAACAGATATAGAGTGGTATCTCTGCTATTTTTCAGTTGATGTTCCAATCTCGATTCTTGACGTTTACCAATGTGACTGGATTTGCAATTTTAGATGACATATCCATCAGCATGGGTCCTTGTAATGGTCAGTTTCAAATTATATTCCTCTTTTCATTTACAGAAATACAGTCTCTCTCTCTCTCTCTCTCTCTCTCTCTCTCTCTCTCTCTCTCTCAGATTTTTGAACAAGCAGAACAAGCTAAATACCGTATCGCGGGTTATTCTTTCGGTTTGTTAATTTTGGCTTATTGTGGCGTTTTGATGGTATCCCGCTAAGCTTTAAAATTTAAATCGCTAAAAAAATCATTTACTTTCTTAGTTGTTATCTGCAAAGAGCTGAATCACTGTGTACGCTAAAATAAGTTACGCCAAAATCATGGGCATAAAATTGAGAACGCCAAGATTTTAAACCCGTCAAGAAAAACCGCTAGAAGGTATCATAGCAAGTGCACCAAGGCGGCACGAAGCGCCGCTCGCGAAGCGAGCTCAAAAGACAACTTGTATGAAAGGAGGAAATTTGGGTTGAAATCTGCACATTGTTCCGAATTTTTATTTTTATCGTACCACGTGAAAATAGTCCCAATTATCATTTGCGGTGTATAGCAACATGGTGGCTTAACATACCGACAACTTAATTTATAAAGCAAACAAACAATGATTTTATGTAATGTCCATGCCACAGACTATCGTTTGCGTCCTAAGGCAACAGGACCTTTAATTTGACGTCATACTTTCGTCACTTACTCGGCTCGAGTGTTTCCGATTTTATTGGAAACTTCCGAGAAGTTCGGAATTTCGATCCGGATTTGTGACAAGTGTTTTTTTATTAGTGTTTTCTCTTTTAATGAACTGAGTACATGTAGGATAGGCAAACCTGTGTAAAGGTTTTGGATAGTAAGTAAATAACTGCGTTCGCCCCAACGGTCGCACCGTCAAACATATCACAAAAAATTGCTGAGAATAATATAACATATATTGCTTGGTTACACTCTGTTTTCCTAGTTACCATTGTAAATATGAAAGTTGTTTTTAAGATAATATTTTTAATACCTTATTACTTAAGTTCAACTATTTCTATTAATTTTCTTAACACCTAATTTTACGTTAGCATCCCCACACTCTACCTAATTCAAGCTCAAGCCAATACAATAGCTTCTTATTTCATCGAAAAGTAAGCTACTTATGCCACCTGATATAATCTGGGTTTGTATGTTTTGAAAACCCGATGAGAGTAGATCGATAGAAATTGACTTCATGTGGTGTAGAAAATATCACAATTATTGTTCGAATTTTCTCTTACGTCTACATTTGTAACGAAGAATGAATATAACGA